CACAATAAGATTCGTGTTTAGGCTCTTAAATACCGTTTCTTTCGCGTGTTTGATTGTACATCTTAGGGCCTTTAACTTAATTCTTTTCACAGAGAGAGCGAGAGAGAGCGAGAGCGAGAAAGAGAGAGAAAGAGAGAGGAAAAAGAGAAGAGTATTCATGTATTTATTCTATGAATCGTATATAAAGCGGTCGACTGTGCTTTTTGTATATTTCAATCGCATATTGAAACGTGAACAATAAATACGGAAGATAAATGTTAAAATGTGCATCTGTACGTCAGTAAGTAATCACAGTTTCATCATTCTGTATAAAACGAACTTTTCGCAGGAACGTTGGTCGCACAATTTTTTTTTATTTTTTTTTGTTAACAAACGCGATTAATTCAGTCAAATAAAATCCGTTCGTGCCAAAGGGAATACAGTGTATCGCATGCGCTAAGCTTGGTACAGAATACTCATAAATTTGGGGGATATATTGTTATCATTTTGGGATTAATATTGTTGGGATTTGGGGGATTAACATTGTTGTCATTTCTACGCGAAAATATATAATTCTTTTCTGATTTGTATATAATAAAAATTGCAATGATCGTAAATATGGATTAGATGGTCGTAACTGAGTCGCTCAATTCAATCTTTATTAATTTTCTAAGAAGCTCTAATCCATCAATATGACCGCGGGGAAGTAGTAAACAACAAAAAAGTAAGTGATGCTCCTTCGTCACTTTCTTAGTCGCAAAATATGAAGAAAGAAAAACGGATTATCCGCACAAAGCTTTAATGCATTTTTAATTGCTGGTCCAAAATGCCATCGCAATCTTCGTATAGATCGAGTGTTGTCGGGGAAATCCGATAGACTGTTTCTCACGGCAAAACCCAATTTTCGAGCAATTTCACAATTTGACCAATCTGTGATGTAGGCGCGAAACGCTTACTGTTTATTATATTTTTAAAGTAATCGGAACTTCAAAGCGGCATTTCTGTCTATTTTTTCGACCGTAGGATGCTTTCAAAGGCTACAAAAAAAGAGAGGGGCGGGGGAAAGAGAGAAAGAGAAAAATACGCGTAACATTCGGAACGAGGAAAATCACAAGGTTCGTCACCAAAAATACAAATTAATGTAACGCCTCGCTCGGTTGTGTATATATATATATATATATATATATATATATATATATATATATATGTATATGTATGTACACTTTTTTACGCTTTTTTACGCTATGTTTGGCAGCGAGTTCGAATTCCGGCATGAACGCTATTTTCGCTTTTGAAAGTCCCCGGAAAATTTTGCAATGCTGCGCACACGAAGGGCTTCGCCCGCGGAAATATTCCTCCCGGCGGGGTAATTTAGCCGTTACGAAATTTTTGCGGCCGATCTGCGCGTGCCCGCGTATAAAATATAAATTCGGCCGGACGAACGTGTCTCGATGAAGAATTTCGCGGTGTCGCCCTACATCCACTCGCCACCTCTGATGACATTATTTATGTGATATGAAATTAATTCGGATAATCTAGTGCAACTTGACTTTAAGCCTCGATAATCTAGCACCTGTACAATCTTCATCGGTGGATCGTCTCAGAGAAAGATCAATTACATGCCGAATGTATTCCTATTTTAAACGCGCGCCATCGTGTCGCTGCGACTATTATGCTACGATAATTTATTGATATTTATCCTCGCGGGCGTGATTGATTCGGCGGGAGACGGGCGAGATGGTAAAATGCGATTACCTTTATGATATACCGGCGTAATTTTCGAATTCAGACACGGACGAAACTTCCGCCGAAACTTCGTATCCCGCGAGAAAGAGTCGTCACGATAAATCTCGCAAGATATACGGAATAACTTCTTATTGCCGGAACTCTGGAAGACGTAAATCTTGCTTTCCCTGTCGTCACTAATTCTGACTGCGCCATTCCGAATCGCAAACCGATTTGCGAAAATCGGCCGGATCAATGTGATTTTTTTTTCACCGACGCGGCTGCGATATAATAATTTGTTATTCAGAACTTTCCATATTCACACGTGTGTTTCTGCTATGTCTATTGAGTCGCGAAGTATTGTATCGAATCCTAAGTCGAAATTTTAGCTCTACTTTGGACCTAAACTATCTAACATCTGTAAAAGATGTGCTAGATATTTCAGAAATTTCGAAATTAGAACTTCTCAGACAACCAATTGTTGTGACTGACTGCACGAACCTGATAGAGGCAGCCTTCTTCTATACATTAATGTCCGCCACGATTCTGTTAACCGTATATTTTGTTCTGTAATAACCAGAATACGAACATGCAGCAACATGGGGCCTGATATAACAAACGTCTTGTCCTGCTACCAGGTTTAATTACTCGGGAGCGCGGGTTAAAAAGGCCACATATAAAATATGTATCTTGATTAGTAGTTCCGGCATTTCCGCGAGAGCTCTCCACAGCTTCCCTGTCGGCTTTTAATTATGAGCCAACTTTGCCTCGTCCGTCCATATGCTCTATTTCAATCATTTTATGAACGAAAATTGTTTATTATCCGGAACAGTATATGATACACTTGAAAGAAATTATATTTTAGTTACTAAAATGTTGTTCAACCTTATTCACTCACGATGGAGAATATTAATACAAAATTTCAAAAATTTCGAAAATTTACTCTTTGCGTTACTACTAAATTAGTTTTTTCTATTTTTTAATTGTAATATTATTCTGATTTTAATAATTTTATTCTGATTTTAAGCTCAGAGAAAAGAGTGTATGAAATTGGCATCCCACTTTTTGAAATTTATAATTTTGAAAGTTGTTCCAGATTGTTCTGATTTTGTACCACATTGTTCCAAAGTGATATTGCTTCATTCGAAACGGTTTTCGAATAAAACAAAAAAAAATGATTTTTGGAGCTGGCACTCCACTTTTTACTGTTCCTCTAAAGATAAATATTAAAAAAGTACATGAGCAAAACATAGCTTTAAGGTCATCTTCCCTATAGTCTTAAGGATCGGTGTATGTGTAATACTCTCTTAAAATAAACCAGTGAAACATCACTGACAACAGTGAATATATATTGATTTGCAGTTATAAGTGTTGCACTAAAAGTGCTTAGTGCTGTACTTATAACTGATATCAGTGACTATTCACTGATTCACTTTAAGAGAGTACATATGGAAACTGAGATTCCACTTAGCGTGTTTAAATGGCAGAAAATGCACAAAATGCCACTTGTAGGTTCTGAAGAGAACCTGTCGGCAAAATCGAGTTCTAAAGTAGGTTAAATGGAATTGAAAGCAGTTGATATAGACTTTGGAGTATCAAAATAATCGCTAAGTGGAATATCGTGGTTGCAAAAGTAGGATCCAAATTTCGATTCGGGATCGTAAAGTGTTATCTGATGAAATCAGGAGAAGGGTAAAAGAACCGTCGTTGCGAAAACTGTGAGAGGGCCGAGGTAATCCGGCGAGACGAGAGAGAGCCGGTATCGTATTCACGCGGATGAGAGACGATTCGATTATAGTCGCACAGCGACTCGAGCAAATCTCTTTACGGCGAGTAGAGCGTAAATCACCATTGATTAGCGCTTTTAAGGCTCCCGATCGATCGGCTTGCGATTCCGGGGCTCCGGAAAATGGACAATCATGCGCAAAAGTTCATGCATATTATATCGCAGAAATTCCGTTCGTAGGTGGTCGCGCATCCGTCGCGCCTGTCGCAAAAAGCTGTAATGGAGTTTCGCCGTTCGCCGATGTTGTTTCGCCATTATATAAGCCATCGAGCGGATCGTGTCTCTAACGGGCTGCTCGACACTGCAAAGCACTGAAGGACGGAAACGCAAGTTACAGACAGGACTGTGTTCGTCTGTTTACAGTCCTGGAAAACGCGTCTCTCCTCTCTCTCTTTCTATTTATCTATCTCTATCCACCTACTTGTCTATCTCTCTCTACCGTCTTCCTTCCACTCTCTTTCTGATTGTCCTCTCGAAGCTCTTTGAGACTCTTCGCTGAGCTCCGCTGAAATCGCGCAAACGTTTCATTCGATTCTATCCCTTGCGTCGCGCTCGTCGTAGCTAATCATTCACGCAACTAATTAGTTCCTGCGCATTCGTCTCTCTAATCGGATTTAATTGGCGTTAGTTGTAATCCGATTTGCGATGTTATTATTACGAATTTATTTCACTCCTTGTCGTTTTCATGCGAACGAAATGTGTAAAGGGAGAAGTGAGGGTGATAATTCGCGTTGAGAGAGAGAGAGAGAGAGAGAGAGAGAGAGAGAGAGAGAGAGAGAGAGAGAGAGAGAAAGAGAGAGAGAGTATCGGCGAACAAATATTCGTCTCCGAAAGTGCAAACAAGATACTTTTGTTACAATCAACATTTACGCGCGTTTATTTGTTAGTTGCCCATTCAAATTTATCGTTTGCCAAATTAGTCGAATCATGCAGCTTGGTGGACGGTTATCATGATATTTTTTGTTTGCAATAAAAGTTCGTCAAGCGCTTTTAACGCTACGCCAATCGTCGTGGTATATTTCAGCGGAATCGATGTTTGCTAGGTTTGCCGCGTGAATTCTTGCGACACAATCGATTTTCCACCCCGCCTCTTTCTCTCGTTCCTCAAATTCAAGCGATGCAGCCGTGCCTGATAAATCGATTTTCATAGATAGGCTTGTTTACCCGCGACAAACCGAATCTCGTGTTTTTCATAGCTCTCTGGGGTTCAATCCGGTTTGTCGAAAATGTTGAAAGGCATATCGAGGCTTTTAAGGAGATTACTGGTCACCGATACGTCGATTTTTTCTATTTCGAGAAGCGGTACGCGGCGATTAAGAAAATTTGGTTTGCCAGACTGACGTTTTCGATACTTGAACGACGAGAGCGTTCTCGTTCGCCAAATAAAAACTGTAAAGAATCAGTTTCAAGATCTAACGAAAAAAAGGAAACTGAGATGAAACGTTTATATTTATCGTGCGTACAATATCGCCGTTTAATTAACTTCCCTGTCGTGATCTTTAATTTTCAGTTCTCGAGACGAGAGAAGGAGGCAAGATTTGTAAAGACTCGAGAAAGCGAATGAAAGAAAAGGAGAGTGAAAAAGAGAGAGAGAGAAAGAGACTCCATTACGGAAATAAGAAGAGAAGAAACAGACAGAAGTAAATTGCAAAATGGAAAATCAAGATCCGCCGATGCTGCGGTCGATCAACAACCAGCACCGATCGTACGTGAAATTTATTAACCAAACATTTCGCCCGGTTAGATTGTACTGGATCGATTATCAAGGGAACGCGATTAGTTACGGCGAGCTGTCATCTGGGGACTACATAGACATAAATACATTTGCGACTCATCCGTGGATTTTCGTCGACAGCGAGACGGGGTACAGGTAGGCACAATGAACAAATTACTCTACATAACAAAACGCACGTAAGAAAGAGAGCTTTCCGATACAAGAGAGAGATTCCTTGCTATCAGAAAATGAGAGATTGCCGTGTCGTTGAGTGACAAATTGTCCGAGTGCGAAAAATCGCTGTTTGAACATGCAAACTTGCTGTTGGTACATGAAATACGTTAGAACCCCATGGAGGTAGTAAATGTGTCTTTGCTCAAGCTGCTGATCCCCCAACTAATCTCCCATGCAAATTTTGTCGCTAAAAAATACCCATTCTCGAACCTCTCACGCACTCGAAGTGTTTGCTTCGAGTGATAACTCGGCTCAGACATAGAAATAATGCGCGGGGGCGGGGGGGGACGTATAAAACAGGTACAGAGTGAATCAGAAGGACGTTTTCTTCCCCGAGCCGTGGTTCAAACACCGCGACATAAGTAACAGGCTGAGCAATGACGGGCTGCCGCAAAGAGTCCAGAGGACTAACGTGTACATCACCCTGTCGGTGTGCACTCTGCGAGAGCTATCGCTGAGGACCATCAGGAAGTGTCTCAGGTACGATCGACAGGCTTTTCTCCTCGACATTCCGCGGAGTCTTCAGTACGAGCTCGCTATGATGCTACGGAGCGACGTGGCGGAGTATTTTCTTTCGTGAAGAGGAAAAAGGGTAGTTTGCGCGACTCTCTTTATGTTTTATTACGTAAGTGACACGTGTACATATGCGCGCATGGTGTGTACATATGAGAATATGATTAAGTGAAATGTGAATATGTGCGCCTTTTCGACGGGATATATTTTGCAATCAATACTTTCGTTAAACGAAAGTAGCTCTTTTCGATTAGTCAACGCTAAAGACAGTGTTCGTTTCGTGATTTAAGGATATTAAGTGACAGCGAGATGCAATTAAATGTTTGTTCGTATTTACGACAGCGAGAAAAGACTTGAAAAGAAATAGATGTGTTTGATAGAGAGCTAGGTGTATTGGGTAGACTTTGTGAAAATAGTTGTATTGGATATCGTACTTGCTAAGAAAGATTCTTCTTTTTAAGTAAGCATCTCGAAGAAAAAACAATTTTAGGAATAGGTAGAGAGAAAGAAAGAAAGAGAAAGAGCGGCGTAAAGTTGCCCGTTTTATTCGTTTTGCCACATTTCACGCATACTTATTTTTGTAAGCGGGCGATAAATTAATGTTAATATTTTATATTTTCACACCATACATTTGTTATTTAGCATCGCGTCCTAATAATATATGTGCAAATATATTTCTGTACTTTAGAAAAAATGAATGATACTGCACACAGTGTTGTTTAATGGCGAATAAATCCGATATATCCGTCTGATATCCCAGCTCTCCTGATAACGATTTCGATTAGGTGGTACGTCGTTCGGCAAGTTTCGGGAAAATCGCCGCGATGCTCGATAGTAATCCGAGCTCGTTTCCGCAATTTGTTAGTAGAGTTTCGAAGGTATTAACCGGCTCTTCTCTCCTGCGCCTCCCCGTCCCCTTCTCTCCTTTCGCATTTCTCCTGTTCTCCACGCGAGCTCGAGATATCACGGGAACTTTCCTCTCGTTAATTAACAGTTAGCCGAGTCGAACGCACTTCGACGCCGGAGTGGATGGTATGACGCGTTCGTTTACGAAATGCAATTTTTGTCAAACGCTGAATATTTGCGAGCTAAAAATTCCGATAATAAAATTTCCGATGATCGTGAGAGAAGCACGAGATATGTGACGCGCGACGTGAGAAATCGTACGGGAAAAAAATACATTTTTATATCTTTTATACTTCACTTGGCACGTGTTTGATTTAGGTGGAGACCGGCGAACTTTTATTTCAACCATATTTCCTTTTTTATGAATTCCTCTCGTGTTCGGAATAGAAATGAAATCCCGACGAATGTTGATCAAGATTCCGCGACTACTCGCCGAATATAAGATACGAGCGCATAAAAGGCGCACCTTAATTGCAATATACTTTTATTACGTGCTTTGTTGTGAGGAGGTATCTGCGAACGGACGGAGGGAATGCGCGGATGGTTGCTGGTAAGTCTGTGCGCCGCAGTTATTCGAATAATCAATAATCGATTAAACGCGCGTTAAATGGACTCTGGTCATTTTCTCTTAATCCGTCCTGACCCTAATGGGTTTTAAACGTCCCGGAATGTCATTGGACGGTGAAGATCTAACTCAACCCGCTTGCGGTCAGACTTATTGCCCGTTCCGAATTAATACTCGGACGTGAATTCCCTTTCAATTAACCCTTTACTACTCACTGTGATTCTGAAGTCATAATCCAACTTTAGCATTATTTATCTCCAATATGGCTGTTGTTTTTGTCTTGATCGATGTGACGTGAAGGCAACTACAATATAGCTGCCTTTTTTAATATATTAGCAGTGATAATAACCGCCTAACGTGACTTTACACTTATATTGGGAAAATAAAAAATTAGAAAAGTGAAATTTCGCCTTATATGTGTTGAGTATTTTAGTTTTAAACATCCTATGTGCATGAAAAATTTTTAAACGTGAGAAATTAATTAATTCAGGTAGTAGCGGGTTAACATACAGTACGCGAGATCGATTTCTGGTCGCCGACGTTTAATATCTGACCGTTGAAATGTAATTAGCGATAGAATAAAAGGAAAAAAAAAAATAAAAAAGACGTAACTTGTATTTATATAGGATAACGTAAAAAAAATTTTGCGTGCGAGTGCATGCTCATCATTCGCGTTGTTTGTCACGCGACAGGGAAACCGGGGAATACGTGGAAACGAAGATCGCGTTTTGTAGGATACGAGAAAGGGAAACAAGTTATAATTAAAATTGACGAGATACACGCACCCAAATATTTTGCAAAGCAACTGAAAAATTCCGCCGTCAGGTACGACGCGTATGATCTGCCGAGATAACCTTTAATTGTGAATCTCGAACAAAGGGTCAGTAGAATTGAGAAGTTAAATGTCCGTAATGTTGCCAATTCGTTTCGGCTCGCATACTGCTCAACGCTTGTCAACAATTTAGTGGCATAATATTTGTTCACTCTGTAAATGACGATAAATAATTCAACCATTCACATACGCAAATGTGTGCTGAAAGTAGCGAATTTTTTTGTAGTTTTACACGGGGAGAATTTTGTAATAAAAATCACTGTAGAGATTTGTAATGGGTCGACGTTTTTTTTTTGCAGCAGTTTATTATCTTTTCACTTTGTACGCGCTATTTGTATTTCGAGAACTGTGAAAAATGCTGTTAAAAAGTTTGCTGTTTTCAGCGAAATTTATTATGTTCCTTGGCAAAATAGACCTTATTAACAGTCTATTTTTCTATAGAAAACATAGTAAAATTGATAAGAATTGATGCGAAAAAGAATCATATTGTTCTCTCCGCGTATATTTCTTGCGAAAGGTTTTTTCTTTTTACCAGTCATCTCTCTCCGGACGTGCTTCTTGAGCACCTGACTTTCAACTTTGAACATTTCTACGCGGTTGCGAAAATCAGTCATTCGGAAAATTGTGGCGAGACAACTTTATGCGAAACGTGCTTACACGTATCGGCCGTAAATTTCGCGGTCTTCATTGCGTTCGGATTTACAGGTTGACCTCGGCCGCTCCCGCGGGATAGCGCGGCGTACTCGTCGGGTCGATCGCGATCGATCGCCACCGGACTGACCGATGAATGCGAGTGCTCCCGCCCATCCCCACGGAAAATCCGTCTGGCTGTAAATTTGTCGATAGTTAATTCTCTCGGCCGTTCGAAGATGAACAATATGCAAATTTGAAACACGGCGAGTTCGATGCGCAATTTGACATTTCTACCAATAATTATCCGTGGCGAGAGTATTTCGTCACCAAAGCGCCAGATCAATGAATCTCGGCAGATTCAGTTTTCCATCGGTGAAAACAGAGATCGCTTTTGCGTGCATTGAACGTTGTGCCCATTTGCGCTGGAAACATTACGTTTCGACGATTTCGCGGAAAGAGAAAAAGAAGGGAGGAAAAATTTCTTTTCGTAAAATAGAAAAGTGGTGGCGCGACTTTTTCGGCGCCATTTCCGATAGTTTGAGCATTAAATGGTGATTGGTGATCTAGCGGAAAGCCGTGACGATTCTGGTGGATCGCGCAAATGCACTTGGCAGATTCGCCAGGAGTTCATAGTCGAAGTTTGTTGTGTTACGCGCACTTCGGCGTCGTCCGTGCCCGCTTCCGCAGCTTCGGGTTTAATACTGGTTTAATCATGACCGGGTCCGAAGTTCGTCGTCTGTGGTTTTTGGCGGGCGCATAATACGCCCGCGCGGAAGATCGTACAAACAGCGCGGCGAAAACCGCATCGGTTCCCCGAGGTGCAACCATTTCGATTACAACCGTGAAACTGCGCCGCGTAACGGCGCAAACCGCGGCGATTGCAGCGGTAGTTTGCCGTTACAATCCCAACATGCAAATCGTTATGCTACGCGGAAAGCTCTCAATTTTTGAAGACAGCTACCCGCCGCGTACAAAACCGACGTTTATCTGCATCGGTGAAAAGTTTTCTCTTTTATTTCGTCTATACGCTACGTAAATAACAGCTGCGCTCGTTTAAACTTGGATTTATTCTCCTAAAGAAGTCCTTTTTTTTCAATTCAATGCGCGATAATTACGCCGATTCGTTGAGATATTTTTGTTATTGTATCTTTGGAGAAAACTGTTGAAACGAGAAGTAAATTTCCGAGAGAAATTTTTTATTCTACATTAAGATTTTATTGAACTTGAAATACCGAATAGAGCACTTGAAGTACCGAAGTGCAATACTAAGCAGGTTATTATCCTTTGGTATTTGAAGTGACTACTCAGATAGCACAGAGAATTCAAAAAGAATTAAAAAAGAATTCAGTTATGTCACCAATTCTGATTTTATTTTCAGATGCAAAAAGAATTTTCCAAAGTTTAGTTCAGTGAAAAAAATTCATTTTGCATCTAAAAATGAACTAAAAATTGGTGACATACGGCTAAATTCTTTTTGAATTCTGTCTTTCTCTCTTTGTGCTATTTAGATATCCAATTCAAAATTTATTCCATTAACCCTACAAATTTTTTAGAATTTTGATTAGGATTTCAAATAGGCTGTTATTTTACCCTGATGTTATAATTGGTTACTTAAAGTCACTTTATGTTAAATTTTCTTTAAAAAAGTTGATTCATTTCAATATCATTCGATACTTGATTATCTCAATATTCTCTATTCTCTTCAATCCTTGTCCTAGCTCCTCGCATTGTCTATCTCTTTTTAATGATGTCAGAAGCGAGAAAATGCATGTTAAAAATTCTTGCAAAATACATGGAAATAAAAATATATACCTATAAAGTAATGCAACGATTAAACAAATTTGTGATATTCCGTGCACTCCCCTTTTGCTTTAACAATCAATAATTTATTGTAAATTAATCTGAATAGAAATAGGCGAAGAAATAAGTTAAGAAGATGAATTGTATGTCACGTTAATTTACGACAAATTATTGATAGAGCAGAAGAGAGATGTACGGAATATCTTACAAATTTGTTTAATCGATTACAAGTGTTACTTTATGGATATATATTTTAGTTTAACGTATTTTACAAGAATTTTTAGCACGCATTTTCTCGTTTCTGACGTCACTAAAAAGAGATAGACAATGCGAGGAGCCAAGAAGCCTTAATAAACAATGTGTTAATTATATGACTTATTTAATTGCTAATAGAGAATACATTTGTTAAAATTTAATTAATGTATGTGTAAGATAACAAATCTTGTTTCTTCATAATCTCTTTATTATCTATTCCTTTCTTTTTATTGACATTGGAAATGTATTGAATTACATATTTATACATTTGGAAATACATAATGTATCGCTGTTCGCGTTCTGGCGTCCCGCATCTGCCGTATTGGCTTTCTGATACAGCATCTTGCTTCTGGTTGCATCTCTATGACATTTTGGATAATAGCTCGTGACATTAGCTTATATAGATACGATTTGACTGAAAATATATGTTCCAAAAATTCCAATATTCGCACACGTGTCTAAGTCTAGACGTTCTTATTGATTTTGTTTTTAAATGCGAATATTTAAAAACCAAGACAATAAGAACATTTAGGTTGGGTTGGGTACGTATCTCGATAGTGGTATTTTTACTTTAGGGGATACTGGAATCGATGACTAGCTTCAAAAATGTCGATAACGTCGAAACAATCGTTACTAATACAGTCACGCTATCCTTTTCGTGTTCCTTGTATGCACATATAGATCCTACGTGCATGCGTGTTGCTTTGTTTCACCATATAACGGAAAAACTAACCACGCACATACAGAAATCTCTCTGCAAGCTTTTTCGATATTTTTAAGCTTCTAAATTCAAATGCAAAGATACAGCAATATTCTTCAAAGTTTCTCTGAACGGAGCAAACTCACGTTCAATATATACAAGTTATAGATCGCTACAGATTCGTATCAGATATTTATTTTAACTGACACTGTCTGACAGACTAATTTACATTCGAAATGTCAACATTGAGATTTTTTACCGTCTTTGTCATTTTATTGAGCAATGCTCCAATTCATTTTTGTGTGCATTGTTATTATGCAAGGGCATTTGTAATTTTGCGCAGTTAATATAACGTAAACTTTGCATAAAAAAAATCAATATTCTGTCGGTAAAAATTTCGACTCCAGCGTTCCTTTAATTAACATGATATCGCTGAGAGTGCGATTAAATATTTCAAGAGCCGACGAAATATTTTGCATAAAATGTAGCGTAAAGTTCGTATCACAGCGACTGTCGAGTGGATTGGGATTATGTAAAATGGACGATTATGTAAAATGGAGCATTGTTTAATTGACAGCCACTAATCTCAATCGATGTTTTGCTCCGAAGGTAGAAAAGCAATCGCGCTAATCGCCAAACAGTAATTCTATCGACAATCGCTAGTGTGAGACGGCCGCGGAGAAGTATACGACGCGCGAGAGTACCGGTAACAATCGGTAGAAAGAGTAAACTCATCCCCTCCCCCCACTCCGCCATCAACCGTCAAGCGTCGTCGCGCGGCACCGCCGAGCCGCCGCGAGTGATAACAACAATCAAAACATTCCGGACCTTAACGACCGTCAAATCTCCCCTCGTGTGTCGCGTACTTTCTCATTGTGTCTCGGGCCGGCGAGCCTCACGTACGTCGCGGAGCACGCGTACCGTTAAACTAGTGTCATATTTGTGATTAAAACTTTTCGTGGACTCTTGAAACATTTAAACGGGCTGTCGTCGGCATCGCGTTATTTAACACGTATCTTCGATTGAATCGTATCTACGCGAGTGTCAGTGTCAGTGTCATGATGAAGCAGTCAGGAAGGATGCCGACTCGAGAAGCAAAGACGGAGGATGAGGAATGACAGACAGCGATACATCATGCATTGTCAGGTATGTGAAATTATTTATTGTATAGGAAGTTTCCATTTTTAATGAACGTTAGACGAATTTACCGATAATAAATAAGAAAATATCCGAGTCGAAATTTAGGCCGGTATTCATAGTCTTGCGTCATTATACAAGTAATAATAGATTCATGAATTTTCGATTATTTTTCAACCTATATTCTATATATACTTCGTATATATACTTCAGTCTATATTTGTACTTATTATAATATTTCATATTTAAAAAGAAATATCGATCCAAACATCCGAGTAATAGTCTATGAATACAAATTTGATAGTAATTTTGTTCTCAATTAAAGATTCTGAATAATTCACAACTGTGAATATTGGCCTCAGAATGTAATGTAAATTTCGCAAATACTGATTTTTACTAATAATCTAATAATGCTCACAAGTGCGATCTTGTTTACATCTGCCAACACTTTTTCTTAGTTTTCTTTTTAGTCTTGTTACTGTTCGGAATTTAAATCTCTATCAGTAAACAGCATTATTAGACATATAACTGTTATCTTTATCTTTACAGCTTCATATCAGCTCTTTTAAAAGCTACAAATCTCATCAAAACTTCCATGAAAAAAAAAGAAAGGAGAAAAAGAGACAAAAAAGAAAGAAAAAAAAGAAAAAGAAATATTAGGAAGAGATGAGATTAAGTTGTTTTTTCTACCCATTTGCCCACCTTAATCCTTATTAAATAATTAAACATTTGCGTATCTTTCACGTATTCTGTTCGTAATTAAATGAATTATATAGTTAATACATAGTTCTGGGGACTGAAATTATAAGAATAAATATTAAATGTGGTAGAATATTTAAATAATGTAATATTAATAATACGGAAGAGAAACAAGATGCAGCTATGGATGACGTCCGTTTAATCTCTTTATGTCACACATTTTTCGCGCACGTGCTTCATATTTCTTCTAGAATTCTATTTATCAAGAAGATTTTTGGCTAATTTGAACAGAATTTTGGTAACTTTAACCGAGATTTTCTGGGTTGCTTATATTTCACCACAGAAATTTAGTTTACTCAACTAAACGTTTTTCCCGTATTTAATGATGGAGTATTGAGCAGCTAACGAGCGTTTATATAGCATTAAGGTAAGACAATAATTGTATAGTATTATATCTCGAAGTTCTTCATTGATTCTTCAAGTTTGACTGAAAAATTTGCAGGATCAATATAGAACCAAAATTTCGACTCGGATTGTGTCGGTGATTATTTTAAAATGCGCGTTAATTTTATTTAAGTCGCGTTTTTAATATTATAATATTACAGGAATCTTTCATAACGTGCGTCGTGAGATGGTTTGATTAGATCGCGCTGCGAGGAAATATCGCGTGAAGCGTTGCCGCATACAAACAAGCAAGTGTGCTTCGTGAAATTCGAGAGCTTGCTCATCAGTTGAGAATCTCCGATCGCACAAAGCTGATTCAGACGTATTAATTAACACACTCGCGATTATGTAACATCCATCTGTTAGTGCAATCATGCCTACAAGGATTGCATAACAGGCAAAATACTCCCCGACAAGAGTAGATCGGTACACATACGCGAGAAGAGAGTGCTTAGTTTCTCTTTGTTTAAATTTTTTTTACTTTTACTATACTTTTAGTAGTCCAGGAATAGATCGTCAGTAAAGTGTCTAAGTCTAGTCTAAGTCTTGCCAAGGAACATAATAAATTTCGCTGGAAACACAGCATATTTCGCCAGAAACATAGCAAGTGTTTTAATAATACATTTCAGCTTCTAAAATCTAAATAGCACATATGAAAAAAAAAACAATAAATTACTGCAGAATGTCGATCTACTCCTCGGTTACGAAGTCCTATAGTAGTTTTTGCTATAAAACACAAACGCGTACATTTTATGTGAAACAATTATCAATTGACATTGTGAATTAAAATGAAACAATTGCATCTAAATTATTTCCCCGTCAGCAACGGGGGAAATCCCTGATTTCTGAAATTGAAATCTCTGAAGAATCTCTCGTATGGGTCCGTAATTTAATGATTTTTGCGAAAAAAAGAGAAAATATCGCGGAAGGGACTATTAAATGCATTTTGAGCACCGAGCTGACGCATCGCGTTCCGCGTTTTTCTATTTTTGGACGCCCGCTGTTCAAACATTGCACCATTGCAAATTGAATATTTGCAATTGCATACATGCGTGAGAGGCTTTCAAGCTGTTAGCCGTTAACGGAAAATCCAGATTATTAATGTACAGGTCGTTACTGTGGCGAAAAAAAATATGAGATAAATGAAATAATAAAACGTCCAATACGCCATTTGCGTCTTGTTGGATTTTTCCTCTCCGAATCGAATAATGTTTTTAAATTGATCAGCTACGTGATTAGCTGTCAATTTATGCGACCATAATGTTTGTTCGATGGTGGTTTATGTAACGTATGTATATAATGTTTCTCGTGTTTTATAATTGTGTCAATATTTGTTTATATATATTATTTATTTATTTATTTATTTTTTTTATAATAAACGAATACATAGAAGTTTCTGTGTATTCGAACGATCGTTGTGTCGAGCAAAAGACCACCGCATCCTTCTTCGCGTTTCTTAACGAAATTCATGATATAGATTTTCAGTTTTTCAAACGTCGATAGACGCGAATCTATATAAATTCTCGTAAAATGCCCATCAATTTGCGCGGTAAAGAGATGAAAATTAATAGTTATTAAGGTGTAATATGAAACTCCGTTTTATTAAATCGCATCGTCGGCGCTTAAGACAAGCTCTTATCCCGCATAGATAGAAGCCAGAGGGAGATATAACTTCTTTAAGCATAGTCCCGCTTGATAGCGAGTTTCGAGGACGGTTTCGTTGCTGTTGCACTCGGGGCAATTAAGCGGTACATGGGGTGTACTCATAGCAATTAGGCCGTGTAAGTCCACTTAGGAACCCGTTGCTCTTGGGAATTTTCAAGTATTCGCAATCTACTTCGACTGACAAGGAAACTCGTTATTCCTTGTCAAGAGTATTTATTTTAGCATTTATTTTAGTTGAATGGAGATTTCCCTCGTATCTCTCGTTGCACAAGGCACATTTTGAATTACATTTTTATGCTGAAATTGTATTCGTTAATGTTGTGTCATCCGGAAAACGCAGTCAAGAGGCCTGCCGCGTCGCGCGAAACAAAACTGGAGGGCTCTCAAGCGCTTTACATAAATCCGTTATCAAAATTAGATAAAATTTGCGGCACACCGACCGGCAACCGTGTATACCAGCCGCAGAAACGCACCGACGCGCATAATGCAATGGCGGAGGGTTGCGGCATTTCCATGGCAAACGACGAAGCGAGTGTCGAAGTCACGTCGCCGTAATTAGTGCGCCAATTAATTAGCAATCGGTGAATCGCAGCAACGAGCGAATCGACGCTGGTTGCCAGCCAGGAATGCAACAACGGCGTCGCGACGCTCGCGCCGTTATCTAATTAGAAGAACAACCTGTCGCTACGACTGCCGCGTTTTCTTGTCATTACTCGTAATTAGTCGTTAGTCTTGTAATTGATAATTACGACGTATTCGTAGAAAACGCTAAAGGGAACGATGAGGGAAGAGTGAGGAGGGCGAATCTCTCGCTTCGATTAAGCGTCGCGATCTGAGGCAATGTTACGTTAATTCGCGCCTTTGGCGGAAGTGAGTCGCACGCGGAATGTCTCAATAAGCGGCAAATTTGCGAGCGCGAAATTGACAATTCATCTGGCAGTTTTGCATAATCAGGAAATTGCGATCACTCGTCGCGGCTGTGATATTCAGCTCTGAGTAAAGTCGTTGCTACTCCGAATTAGGTCCTTGCAATTACATCAAATTTATCGCATTATATTCACTGTGTGCAGCTTATTCTCTCTCTCTCTCTCTCTCTCTCTCTCTCTCTCTCTCTCTCTCTCTC